AGGCTCCCCGCTGAGCAAGGAGCCCAATGTGGGGCTGGATCTCAGCACCCTGGGATCATGACCCAAGCCAAAGGCAGACGCTTAACCGGCTGAGCCACCCAGGCGTCCCAGTACCACATCATCTTTATTCATTCAGCTGTCAGTGGACACTTAGGTTGCTTCCATATCTTGGCTATTGCAGATAATGCTGTAAACAGAGGGTGCATGTATCTTTTCAAATTAATGTTTTTGTTTTCTTTGGGTAAAAAATACCCAGTAGTGGAATTACTGGATCATATAGTATTTATATTTTAATTTTTTGAGGCGCCTCCATACTGTTTTCCACAATGGCTACACCAGTTTACATTCCCACCAACAGTGCATAAAGGTTCCTTTTTCTCCACATCCTCACCAACATTTGTTACTTCTTGTCTTATTTATTCTAGCCATTCAGTAGGTATAAGGTGATATCTGTTGTGGTTTTGATTTGTGTTTCCCTGACGATTAATGATATTGAGCATCTTTTCATGTGTCTCTTGGCCATTTGTATGTCTTCTTTGGAAAAATATCTATTCAGGTCCTCTGCCCATTTTTAATTGGATTGTTTTTTTGGTCTTGAGTTGTAGAAGTTCTTTTTATATATTTTGGATATTAACCCCTTAATGGGTATATCATTTGCAAATATATTCTCCCATTTAGTAGGTTGCCATTTTGTTTTGTTGATGGTTTCCTTCACTGCAAAAGCTTTTTATTTTGGTGTAGTCCCAGTCAACTTTTGCTTTTGCTTCCCTTGCCTTAGGAGACATGTCTAGAAAACAGTTGCTGTAGCCAGTGTCAAAGAAATTACTGCCAATGTTTTCTTCTAGGAGTTTTATGGTTTCATGTTTCACAGTTAGGGCTTTAATCCATTTCGAGTTTATTTTTGTGTATGCTGTCAGCAACTTCAAGAAGTTAAAATAAATCTTTTAGTGGCTGGCAGTGAATTGGAGTTTCTACAGAAATTATTTAATGGGGGCGCCCGGGTGGCTCAGTCGTTAAGCGTCTGCCTTCGGCTCGGGTCGAGAGAGAGACACAGCGAGAGAGAGAACACAAGCACGGGGAGTGGGAGTGGGAGAAGCAGGCTTCCCGCGGAGCAGGGAGCCCAATGTGGGGCTCGATCCCAGGATCCTGGGACCATGACCCGAGCCGAAGGCAGACGCTTAACGACTGAGCCACCCAGGTGCCCCAATAAATAAAATCTTAAAAAAAAAAATTATTTAATGATTTGATTTACTTGGACATTTCATATTTGGTGCACTTAGGAAGCTAACAGTTATTTCCTTGTGTCATCTTTGGTATGCTTGCTAGATGAGTGTTGTGTGTATCAGAACTAATGACCAGTAATTGCTTCACCAGTCCCTTGATTCCTTCCTTCAATAAGTCATTCATTCAACAGATAGTTAATTTGTTCCAGGTATTGTTCTAGGAGGTACAACAGTACATGTGACAGTTAATGTCCCTGTTCTTATGGAGGGTCAGCAATAGTGGAAGGATAGAGGGAGACAGACAATAAACATCAGTGAGCAAGAATTTCAAGTAGTAATAAGTACAGTAAAGGAAGTATAATATATATATATATATATATAAAGAAAGAATTTATTTATTTGACAGAGACAGAGAGAGCAGGAACACAAGCAGGGGGAGTGGGAGAGGGAGAAGCAGGCCCCCCGCCGAGCAGGGAGCCCGATGCGGGACTCGATCCCAGGATCCTGGGATCATGACCTGAGCCGAAGGCAGACGCTTAACGGCTGAGCCACCCAGGCGCCCCAGGAAGTATAATATATTGATATGATAGAGTGACTTGGCTGGGGCCAGGGAGACACTCGATCTTTTGGTCAAGGATGGTCTCTCTGGAATTGCTGTCTGAGTTCCACAACTTGATTGATAAGGAGCCAGCTGTTTAAGATCTGGGGGGAGGCTAGTGGGACCAGCTAGTGCAAGTGCCTAAGGCTTAACTTGTTGACGGAGCGAGGGAAGGCTAGAATGGTCAAGCATAGAGATAGAGAATAAGGGCCATGTTATGAGTAGAGGCCAGAGAGGTAAGGCTTATTTGAGGTTTTTAACTTTTTGTGTGCTGTGGACCCTAAATAAAGTCTATGAACCCCTCTTCAGAATAGTGTTTTTGTAAATGCATAAAGTAATACAGACTTGCAGAAGAAACCAATTATATTGAAACACTTATCAAAATATAAAACAAACTTGATAAAGAAATAAATCCTTTTTACTAATGCATTAAATAACATGATCTGAGTGAAGCCCTACTAAGGTCTTAAGTTTTGAACTAATAATGAATTTAAATGATACTTAAAATTATCTCCCAAAACTGTAATATGATATGAAAATATATCTGGAATTTTGATTGATGACAAAGACATAGGTCCTGGGAATACTACTGTGGTGTATTGCACACATTAATAATGGAAGGAGGTGTCAGATTGTAGTTAGATGTTAGAGAAAATGAATTTGGAATTTTTTTCTGTGTTTATGTAGTACTTTGAATTTAAGGGTCTGTAGTCCTTGCGTGAAGACCCTAAATAGATTGTGTAGGGCCTTTTAGGCTGTGATAACTAGTGAAAAATGGAGTTTATAAAAAACCAATTGGTGTCCATCACTTGATGAATGGATAAATAAAATGTGCTAGATCTGTATAATGTGATATATCCGTCAATAAAAAGAAATGAAGTACGGATGCATGGTGCCCCATGGATGAACCTTGAAAACATTATGCTGAGTGAAAAAGGTCAGTCACAGTATCATATGATCCATTTATGTGAAATATGCACAATAGGCAGATCTATAGATACAGAAGTGGATTAGAGGTTGCCTGGGCTTGGAGGAGTGGCCGGAGGTTGGAGGGTAATGGTAAGTTACTGCTAATGGGTACAGGGTTCCCTTTTTCTTTGAGAGCAGTGACAGTGTTCGAAAATGGATCATAGTAGTCGTCACACAAATCTGTGAATAAACTAAAAACCATTGGATTTTACACTTTAAGATGGAGAGTTGTTTGGTATGTGAATTATATCTCAGTAAAGCTATTATTTTTAATTCAAAAAACCATAACCATTTGGGGAAAAAAAAAATCCAGTTGGAAATTGACAGCTGGGGCTCAGTACAAATTATAGGTAGGGGAAAGAATTCAAGATGTTAGTGAAAGTTTGTAGGATAGGGAGCAGGTGAGCTCAGAAGGGGCCTATTGACTCTGAGAAGAGCTGCAGCAAGGTGGGCCTATGTGTTTGAGGGACCCGAGGACATGTTGAGGATGACGGGTTCTGAAGGTTGTACAGGTATTTCTGTAATAATACCATGTGTTTATTCTTAGCAAACTTAACTTTCTTCAGTGTCGTGTGCTAGAAAACGTAACAGAAAAAATGGAGTTAAGGTAGATCTCAAAGTATATGAAAATTTTAAAATGATAGCAAAAGCATTAGCAAACTTTAATGAAACAGTAGCCTACATACATGTCCATTGCATTTGTACCCAGCACGAGCATCAGGTGACTCTTTGCATGAAGCCTTAAAGTCTAGGGTTCTTGTTCCTCCTTTGAGATGCCCTGTAAGGCTGTTTGCTTCTAATAAAGGTCAGTTTCACAAAAGTTAAACATCCAAACCAGGGTAGAGAATTTAGTTAAAAAAAAAAAAAATTCTTTTAAACACCAGCAAATGTTTTGTACTTTTCATCTATACTCTGCTTTTCTTTGTGTCTTAGCATAGTGGTAAGTACACTGGCCAGTAGGCCAACTACTCCGAGGTCTTCACATATTGCTAAGTTTACTCTTTAATTGTGTGAAAGCTTGCCCTTGATCACTTCAGAACACTAATGGGCTAGGAAAAAATCATTTGTGAACCAGTGCCACCTCCGCGCCTTGCTTCCATTATTCTCCTGTTTACCAATAGCATATGAACTAGCTAATTCAGAATAAAGAACCAGGTGTTGAAGCACAACAGACATTATGTGGTCAAAGTGTTGTTTATAGACTGTCTAAATGATGTTTCACACATATGTACTATTTTCTAAATATGTGTAGATGCTGTTGTGATTAATAAAACGTGAATTCTTAATTTTGCTGACTTCATAGTAGCTTTTCATCGTTTTCTCAATTAAGAGCTACTGCTACTTCTAGAAAAGATTAGGAACTATTGCTTTGGAACAAAATGCAGTAGGCTAGAGATCATTTGCAGAATACTTGTAAAAGAATTTATTGGAGATCAGAAAAAAAAAAAAATCCTTGCAGTGTAACCAGTAACAATACATGGTAACTGTAGCTGAGCTCCTGTTAAGTGTCAAGCATGTTATGTTAAGTGTTATGTAAAGTTAACTCATTTATTCCTCTTCTGGGTTGCTGTTGTCATTACTCCTGTTGACCCGGGAAAGGGGCTCAGAGTAACATGTTCCAGATCACAGAGCCAGTAGTAGCAGAGTTGGGGTTGGCACCCAGGTCTGTACTCATGCCTTTCACACTATAGACTCTGCTGCTTCACTTACTCATACAATTCCCTAGCATGTGCTCTTAAATAGCATCAAGTAAAGTGCCAGTGTAAATACTTGGCTTGATTTAACATCTGTTAATTGGAACACTGTATTATTAATGGAAATTGGGGATATAAGGTAAGTTAGAGGCATTTTATTTTAATGACTTGGACTTCGGGTTATTAAATCTGTGAAGAAATACAGTTCATTTAGTTGTAATTAATTTCATGTTTCTGCATCTCTAGTGTTCTTTATGAAGGAGATTACAGACAGGTAGGGAGGCAGTGTTTTATTAGAAAGCTCTGAGTGCCAGATGATCTCCCTTCCTATAAAATAAATACTAAACACATTTGAATTAAAATATGGGAGTAAATAGTAACTTTGGAGACCTGCTGCACTACTTGTGCTTTTTGGATCACATGCTGTTTATTATCTCAGATGAATTTTTATGATGTGTGGTCTTCCATTTTTCAAAATAGGACCATTTTATTTTATTATTTTTTGCTTTCTTTTAGGAAAACACCAGAGTTTATTGTTGGCAGTTTTTGTCACTCCTTTTATTGATCTTCGTTCTGATTTCTCCAAATTTCAGGAAATGATAGAAACAACTTTAGATATGGATCAGGTATGTAATCTACTCTTGAATTTAAGCAGCGAAGTATTTTTGAAATGCATGTCAGAAAACTTTTCAGATTTTCTTTTTTTCGTATTTAATTTTGGTATTTTTATGAGGCACCTTTGAGATCGTGGACATAAGATTAAATGATGGGGCAAGTTTGTTGTTTTCTTAAAAATAATAATTGTTTTAGTGGATGAAGAAAGATTAACAGGAAATAAATGTTGGGCATAACTGGCCTGATTAAAGGAAATCTCACAAGTAAAAGATTTCACATATGCAGTCTGAATTTTGTTTTAATTTCAAGAGAGAAGGAAAATTGTAGTCACTGAAAAAGAGAAGATAAAGGTAAATTTGGAACACAAGAGAAGGCAACTTCTCCTTTGTTTATTTTCCATGTAGGAAAGTGTTTGGGGGAAGAGGATAGAATATGTGTGTATCTCCTAAATAGTTGTTGATATAACTAAAAAGTTAACCATACTCTAAATACTGTTTAGTTCCAAATTCTTGTTAGTTGAGAAGAGCATTTAGGGTGTAAGCGATCTGTGTCCTCAGGTTTATAACAATACTAAGCAGTAATTTATATATAAAGTGGGAATAGTTTCTGAAATAGTTGAAAATATCCTTGTATGAAAATGAAATTGAAGGGGCGCCTGGGTGGCTCAGTCGGTTAAGCGGCTGCCTTCGGCTCAGGTCATGATCCCAGGATCCTGGGATCGAGCCCCGCATCGGGCTCCTTCCTCAGCGGGGAGCCTGCTTCTCCCTCTCCCTCTGCCTGCCACTCCACCTGCTTGTGCTCTCCCTCTCTATCTCTGTCAAATAAAAAAAAAAAAAAAAAAAAAATCTTTAGAAAATGAAATTGAAAGCAGATTTATCAAATGGTAAAATTCGCTGTCAAAAGTTTGTAGAACAAATTTAATATGGGACCATTGAATGTAGGGTTTTTCAATTTTATGACTTTAAAAATAATACCTTTAAAATTTTCTGTCAAAAATGATCATGCAGGGAATAAGTGCTCTCACATCATTCATATTAAAGTAATAGTTTGGTTTGCTAATTGTTATATTCTTTGCATTCTTTTTTTTTTTTTTTTAAAGATTTTATTTATTTATTTGACAGAGAGAGACACAGAGAGAGAGGGAACACAAGCAGAGGGAGTGGGAGAGGGAGAAGCAGGCTTCCCGCCGAGCAGGGAACCTGATGCGGGGCTCGATCCCAGGACCCTGGGATCATGACCTGAGCCGAAGGCAGACGCTTAACGACTGAGCCACCCAGGCGCCACTAGATTCTTTGCATTCTTAATAACTTGATTTGGGTTAATGTTTGCCCTATGGGATATCGATTTATTTTGTTTTTACTGGATCGTTAACTGAGGTTTAAAACAGTCAAACCTCATTTAGTCTGTGCTCTTTGGGTTTAGAAATCCATGCATATATAGGATAGATGCTTTACTTTCCTGGTACTGTTTTGTCAGTGATAGGCCCAAGCAGCCAAAAAACTTGCATTGTTTGCCTCTCATTTGGGAAAACTTGCATTTTAGCTATTGTGACCTCTGTAATGTTGGTCTTAGTGGAATGATTTTAGGTGTACAACTTTCAGATCAGTGGTGGGCAGAAATACTGCTCACAGACATGCTGAAACCGCCTCCGCTACCAGGAGATGGGGATGTGGCCTTTCCTGTGATGGGGGCAGAGCTGGATATTTGTAAATGGTCTTTATTTATTTTTTAAAGTTTTTATTTATTTATGGGGGGGGACAAGCACACTCCGCACTGAGGACCCTGAGATCATGACCTGAGCTGAAACCAAGAGTCAGATGCTTAACTGACTGAGCCACCCAGGCGCCCCTGTAAACATCTTTAAATGAAAGCATGTAAAGGTGTAGTTCTTGGTGGTTAATAAAAGCTCTGACTAAAATAGGGAGGTGGGAAGGCAAGAATCAGAACGTTTCATTGTCTCTGCAGCTTAGCTTTGCTGAAATGCTGCAGTTGATTTCGCCCTTTGTGGCGAACTTTATTCTTCTAAAAGTTGCTGTGCTTTTAATATTGTGGGTCTCAAACGTAAGCATGTATCAGAACCACCTGGTGGGCTTGCTGAAACAGATTGCTGGGCTCCCTCCCCAGAATGAGAATCTTTCAGTCTGGGGTGGGGCTAGAAAATTTGCATTTCTCACATGTACCCAAATGATGCTGCTTGTCTGTGGACCACACTTTGAGAACTACTTGCTAATAAAATAAATTACTCCTAATAAATTAGGAATGCAATCATATTTCAAAGTGAGAATGAGCATGTGATTTCTTTTCACCAGTATGCAGCCTGCTGCAAGCGCTGTGCTCTTGGGCAGTCACTGGGCATTATCTGGCCAGAAGTTGATGTGTATAAATTGGGAGTGTTTAAGAGTTTCTTAAAATTTGTAGCCCCTCTGTCAGTATACGGATCTTCTATTGAAGAGCCCATGCAGCTGCCTTTTTATTTGGGTCATCACATTCACAGCCTGCCCAATAGATGTGGAGGCCCTGCCTAATAGGACCTCTCTTCTCCCTCTTCCACTCTTGGACAGTAAAAGCTATCTCCTGCAGTAAGCATTTTGTTTGCATTATATACAAGATTATTAGCCATTACTATGATAATTACAAAAAGCAGCAGGATGATAAAGTGTTGGATACTTTTGTTTCATATTATGCCTTTTGATTTACTCCGTCCCTACCTTCTGGCCTTCCATCGCTCCTGTCATGCAGTATTTTGACCACATAAATCCAGCCCTTGGGATACATACCTACTGGCAGCAAATAAGCCAAAATGATGATGGACCAAAATACCAGAATGTAAATTTTTAAAGTGTTTTCTTTATTTGAAGCTTTTCTACTTATGAAGGTAACACATACTATTAGAACAAGTGAAACAAAATGATACAAAGAAGTATAGAGGCAAAAGTGACCATTCTTCCCTCTTCAGATGAACAATGTTGGCAACCTGGTTGGCTTCCTCCAGCTCCATTATACTCTCTTCCTTATTGTGGGTTAAGATTTTTTACTTTGATCTGAAATACTTGACACATATCTGTTAAACTAGACTATACTGTGACTTTGAAATAGTGTTAATTCTCGAATAATGCTATGGGATTAGAGTGTTGTAAGATTTTGTGTCTGGGAAGAGTGGATTTTAGCAAGGCAAGCAGTGCAATTATATGGATATAGGCTGGAAAATAAGAGGTCATTTGTCCTAATTTCATTGCTGTCACTTAAGATTATAACAAACCTTGATTTCTTAATCTGAAAGTAGAACATTAAGTAGTTAACTTTGTAGGGGAGAAAAAACTTTTTCTGTTCTCTTCTGTTCATTGTTTGGAGGTCTGCTAATTAAACTGATAAACAGATTAGCAAGAGAACAGATTTTTGAGTTCACATAGAAGTGTGAGTCAAGGAGGCTGTTAGAATTTGGGGCTTATATACTGTTGGTTGGGGAATAGAGAGGGAAAAGGGGCACTTAGGGGAAGACAAATGACTTTTAGGAGTGATTTATGAGCCCTTTGGAGAATAGATGGAAGATAGGATAATTTTGACTTCCTTGGTTGTGAAACTTCTGGGAGGGGATTTACAACAACTGAGTTCTTTTGGGAAGCTCTGCTTTTAGGGAGATAAGAGGGTTCAGAAACAAAGTCTATTCTCGGATGCTTTCATCTTGGAATAATTTTTATGCCACTATGGCATATTCTGGACCCCTCATCAACATTAAGTACTGTGTCAATAAGATATGAGTTGTGGATTTCCTTTTTTTTTCCCCCTCTGAGTAGACTGTTTGAGGTTAAACTCAGTATCAGTCAGGACTCTTTATTTTGCACATAACTTAAACCTCAGTACACCCTGGCTTATGAAATTAGAAGTCTAGAAATAGGGTAGGCTTTAATGTAGAGTTGCTTGATCCAGCAGCTCAATGATACCATCCAAAGGACCTAATTTCTTGAACTCTTCTATCTTTGTGATTTGAATTTCAGCTAAACGCTGGTTCCTCTTTGGTCCTAGGTTGGCTGCCTACCAGTAGCAATTCATGCAACGTTCCAAGGAAGAGTCCTGCAAGTTGCCTTTTTGGGACCATTTAAGCAGTGATTGTGGCCAGGGATATAGAATGTGATGATGGGCCTAAGATAACTAGGGGTGGGTTATCCCTCTGTTGGAGATACAGAAAATGAGAGAGCACTACTGGGAAGGGGGAAGAAGGGGAATGACTGTGGTATAGACAACCAGTCATGTCTACTAAGATACAGTCCTGTAACTAAAGGCTTTCATGTTTTATAGTGTGATGCTGTCTTTTAAATAAATATGATTCCTAGTTAAAACCTGCTCTAGATTCTCTAGGGAATCAGCTTAATATAATATCTTCTTTATTCCGTTATAAACCTTTAAAAGACTTACCTTGGGTTATAAAGTGAATTCAACCCTTCACTGTCATTGTAGATATTTGTAATGAATTTATGCATTTAAATTACATGACTCAGAACTACTTTGAACAAACCTCAGAGGATAGCAATCATTTCATATATGATTTCTGAAAGCTTTACTCATGTTTTCCAGCTGTGCACTTAAGGAGCTTAAGTGATGAAGGGAGCAGTCATTTATATGCATAGTTGGGTTAATTTGTCTTTTTTCCTAGGCTTAGCTTTGTATCTAATGCTTCAGGTGTTTGTGTGTCTGCTTTCCATAAATTTTATGGAAAGATTTTCTATTTCTGAAATAAATAGAAACATAGATTTATACTGCCCCCAGGACAAGGTTCAAAAAGGCAATGAGTTTGCACCAAAAAATAATGTCAGTTAGATTGTGTGATTTAGTGAGATACATTAAATTTTAAAATCTTTCTATACTGTATTTGAGCATTTTATCTTTTAATATTAGTTTTCACATACACTTATTGACATTTCCTCTATTATTGGAAAAGTAGTAATGTTAGATAAATCTTTACTGACAATACTGGGACAGAAAAAATTGAAATAGTTTTTAAAAAGCCACAGTT